GGCTGGGTAGGGGCAGAGCCACAACTCCACTCATGTCTCCCCTTCCTTGTGCCAGCTCTGCGCTCTGAGGCAGTCAGTGAAGGTAACTGGGTGGTCTGACTTCTTTATTTGGTCAACATTTTGATAAGATTTCTTTGTAATTTGCTGGAGGTCACATTTAGTTTTATTTTATTTTGAATGAGAAGAATCTTATTTTAAAACCCATTTATGTGAATTACCATCTTGTTTCTTTAGAACTATGAAACACTGGTTTATACTAGCAGGGAAGACACTATAGCAACCCAGAATTATTCTTTTGGACTGTAGTAGTAATCATGAAGCAGAACTTGGGGGTCTTTTCTTAAAATTCCCAATTCGTATACACTTTCTGGATCCTATGCATACACTTTCTGGATCCTAAGTCCAATTGCTAAATTTTTAAACCTAATATTTTAACCTAACACTTTTATTACCAACTTTTCTTTAATAGTGTTTCTTTTCTAGTTTAGTTATTGATTTTCTTGGGTTTGACATATTAAATCTTCTACAAGATGACACATATGCTTTTTTTTTTTTTTTTTTTGGCAGGCAAAGATTAGCCCTGAGCTAACATCTGTTGCCAATCTTCCTCTTTTTTCATGTTTTCCTCCCAAAGTGCACAGTTGTATATCCTTGTAAGTCCTTCCACTTCTTCTATGTGAGCCACTGCCACAGCATGGCAACCAACAGACAGGTGGTATGATTCCATGACTGGGAAACGAACTTGGGCCACCAAAGTGGTGAGCGTGCTGAACTTTAACCACTAGGCCATCAGGATTGGCTCACATACGGTTTTTTTCAAAGCTGATGCTCATGAATTGAAGCAGTGAGTTCCTTTATGTTTGTAATATTTACTAAAGCACCTGGCACAAAATGCACCAAAATCTAGAGCAGTAGCTTTATGTAAGTTCTCATGAGCTTGTAATATAATTGTCAATCCACTTATAATTTGTGAAATACTGTACATATATAGAGATTAAATTGGCCAGTAAAAAAAAAATTGGCCTTGGTGCTGGCCCGGTGGCACAGCACTTAAGTGCGCACATTCCACTTCAGCAGCCTGGGGTTCTCCAGTTCGGATCCCGGGTGCAGACCTACGCACCACTTGTCAAGCCAAGCTGTGGCAGACATCCCACATATAAAGTAATATAAAGTAGAGGAAGATGGACACAGATGTTAGCTCAGGGCCAGTCTTCCTCAGCAAAAAGAGGAGGATTGGCAGCAGATGTTAGCTCAGGGCTAATCTTCCTCAAAGAAAAAAAAATTGGCCTCAAAAAAGCCCAGTAAGTCCTATCTGCCATATTTATAAAATATATCCTGAATCCATTCTCCATTCTTGCTGCCACCACCTGTGTCCGAGTCATCATCATCTCATTTGTACTTCTGCAGCAGCTTCCTAACTGTTCTCCCGTCTCTCTCCATTCCCCCCCAATACACTCGTTTCCTTCTTATAATCTATCCTCTATACAGCAGCCAGAATATTTCAAAGATGCCAGTCAGAGTATGTCAGTCTCCTCACCCCTAAGAGCTTTGATTTTAGAATAATATCCAATCATTTTACATGACCCAAAAAGCTCAGCTGCTTCTCTGACCTCATTTCCTACCACTTTCCCCTCATTATTACACCCTCCTAGCCCATTCCACCTCAGGAACTTGCACTGTTTCTTCTGCCTGGAGACGATTGCCCTAAATCTTCACACCACCAGTTCCTTGTCATCACTCGGCCTTCTGCTCAAGGGTTACCTTCTTGTTGAGACTTTTCATAATCACCCCATGTAAACAGCATCCCTCCCAGTCCCTTTCAACTGTATTACACTACATTCTTGGCTTTCTTTCATTCCCTCTACAAATATTTATTCAGCATCTATCATGTGCAAGGGTCTGCTCTAGGTGCTAGAGACACAGCAACGAACGAAACAGACAAAAAGTCCTTCCCTAATAAAGGTTACATCCTAATGGGGAAGCCAGTCAATAAGCAAGGTAAATGAGTAAAATACATAGTATGCTAGCCAACGAAGGGTGCTAAGGAGAAAAATAATGCAAGGAAAGAACAGAGAGAGGGAAGGGGACTAGCAATTTAAATGGTGAGTCAAAGAAGGACTCCACAGGAAGGTGACACTTAAAGAAACATCTGAAAGAGAGGAGAGCGGTGCAGGTATCTGGGGAAGGGCAATTCCAGGCAGACAGCACAGCAACTGCAAAGGCCTCTAGGCAAGAGCCTGCCTAGTATGTGTTGGAAACACCAAGAATGTCGACACTGATGGAGCAGAGTAATAAGTGAGCAAAGGAGAGAGTGAGTGGGAGATGGAAGAATAACAGGAGATGAGGTCAGAGAGGCATATGTAGTCAGACAGCATTATAAAATTACCTTGTTTATCTGTTTACTGCCTGCCTCTCTCACGAAAACAGAAGCTCCAAGAAATAAGGACTTTGTCTGTCTAGTTCATTGCTCCGTCTCAGGCACATAGAACAGCTTCCAACACACAACAGGCACTTGATAAACACTTGTTGGATAAAGTTTTAAAATGTGGAGGGAGACACAGTATAAAGAAAATACATTTTGTGGATTTTATTTAATCATTCTAAGAATGGTTCACCTATTCCCAAATTTTTACTACTACAAAACATGCTACAATGAATGTTCTTGTGAAATTACAATCTTTGAATTTCAATTATTAGTAACATAGATTCCTAGAAAGAGAATTGAATCAAAGGATATGTACATTTTCAAGTTTGATACTGCCAAATTACCATCCAAAAAGGGAATGCCAATTTATGTTCCTCTCAAAAATTTTAGGGTGCCTGCTTCCTCATATTATGACAAATACTGAAAACTAGCAAACTTTTCAAATGTTTGCCAATCTTACTGACAAGAAAGGGAGAAAGGAAGGAGAAATTAAAGTGTTTCCTTATTTCAATTTGCATTATTAATGAAATCAAACATCTTCTCATGTTTGTTGGCTTAAATATTATTTCCCATACCTGAACCTACTAACCTGTACAGGTAGAAATTGGATGCAAAGCACTTAAGGGTGAAAATTACACAGGAAGGTTAAAAACTACTGTTGACATTTAAAGTTAACTATATTGAACCAAAATAAAACAAAAGAAACCAAATCAAAAAGACTGATAGATTTGAGCATATTCAGAAGAAAAGAAAAAAAAAGTATAGGTCAAAAAACATTATAAGCAAAAAGTAACCTCTGCTATTAAGACCAGATGGCATGATAAAGTAATTATATCATTTGAAATTATAGCCATAAAGTATATTAACATGCTGCTTGTCATACTGAATTGGAAATAATTTTTTTAAACTACCCATTGTTGATGGGAGTGTAGGAAAACAAGCACTCTCAAAAACGGCAACAAATAGGTACAATCTAACTAGATAATAATTTTGCATTATGTATTAAGATCCTTAAAAATATTCATACCTTATGATCTTTGAATTATTCACTTAGAAATTTGTTCTAAGGAAAACAAAGATGTAGGGGGAAAAAATTGTACACATCATTTATATAGTAGGAAAGTTTGTTGGAATAATGTTTTGTTCTCATAGCATAAGAAGATAACTAAGTCTTTCTACTTTTAAGAGGTGAAGGGGGAGGAGATTTATTATTTATAATGTCTTTCATTGATTCCTCATGCTATATACTACTAAAATTAATTTTAAAGAGGCGAAGCATCCTGTTACTTATCATGATATGGTAAGTATCATGATACTTGTTTCTTGTTTGCTAAGTGAAACAAAACACATTTCAACTAGTTTTTTCCTTTACTTTAAATTTCGGCAAACTTCTTAGAAATCCAAAACATCTAGAAAAACATAAACATAAATTGGCAAAATTACCATTATATGTCACTCTAAAGTTCTCAAATTTTTAAATTTCACATTAACTCTTAGGATATCACAGCCAAACTTTAAAGTTTGTCCCTAAATTCTGCCATACTTTATAAATGTATGCTTGATATATTTATAATGCTGAAAGAAAATAGTATTATATAAGATTGGAATTTTTCTTCCATTTATTTGTTCATTTTCCTGTAATTTTTAAGCCTCCTCTACCAATTTCACTTAGCCCTCTTCCATCTCTTTTGCTGGACAAGTCTTCCAAAGCAATTTACAACTTTCTGCTGTAGTGTTTGTTTAATGAAGTTCCAAGATGTACATATATTTTTTCCTTTGGAAAGCAGGTCAATTTGTAGCATTCCCAAGATGCTACATTGTGCAAACACCATGGAATTTAAATGGGCATAGAGGTTGTTGGAGTAAGATAGATCAAAACATATTTTCTTTCACTGGAACCTTTTAAATGCTTTTATATCAGAATTGTTAAGTAGCATCTTCTACCAACTGGCTTCAACTTCCTCCTTTGCCAATAAATGCTTTTTTATTCTACTACTGTTAAATTTCCAGAAACTATTCTAATCAATGAGTAATTTTTTGTCATACCTTATTTGCATTCCACTGATAATCACACCTCTCCCTCAACACATTTTTACGGTAGAATAAAGTCATACATCATTGCTAAGAATACACGTATGGGAACCACATGCTTTCCTATCCATTACATTTGCTAACAAGAAACAAAACTAGAGGATAAAATGAGGAAAGTTTTTTGAAGTCGTACAAGAAAATCTTATTGTGAAGGACAACAGTTTTACTTTTTTAAGGCATATAAAAATGAAGAAGTTTAAGTTGTTTTTAAGATAAGAGTTTGCTAATTTCTCCAAGGGTCAGTGAGGTTCATTTCTCCAGGTGATTTACATTATTCTGAGAATTCAAATTAGAATCTGAATTTTTTTTTCCTGAAGAAGATTGGCAACACATGTTAGCCCAGGGCCACTCTTCCCCTTTTTGCTTGAGGAAGATTCACCCTGAGCTAATATCTATGGCAATCTTCCTCTATTTTGTATGTGGGTCACCACAGCATGGCCACTGATGAGCAGTGTAGGTCCATGCCCAGAAACTGAACCCGGGCCACTGAAGCAGAGCACACCAAACTTAACCACTAGGCCATGGAGCCAGCCCCGTAGAATCAGAATTCTTATTAAAGGCAAACTTAGACACTCTCTTTTATTCTCTCGTTCTTTACACAAGGCACAGAAAACATAAATTTAAAATGAAATGGAAATTGTAAATAAAGTACCTAAGGCAGTACCTAGCTCAAAGTAAATGACCAATAAATGCTAGTTCTGTCACTCTTCTGCTTGCTTTGTCAATGGTCATATGACTAGCCAGTGGCTTATCCGTATGGTTTGTAACATTATTGGACAAGAGGCTGCCCTAATTCAAAATTTTATACCATGTATGTCATTTCAAGAAGTTGTGGGTGAGTTTTTCACACTCAACTAATTTTAAACTGGTGTGTGCATGTGATTGTTTATGCAATCAAAGGCTCTCAGGACCTGAAATTTCCTTAAAAGAATTAAAAAGATGATAAACAAGAGCTATACAAAAGTTGTAAGATATCTTTTTTTAATTCTGGAATTTAGCATCAAATAATTAATATTGTAAGTTAATTTACGGTTTTAGAAATGGATCCACTATTTTACCAGGGTACCCATAAGAATCATTTTTGTAGTCACTCTGAGTCATTTAGAAACAGGGTAAACAATGAACATCAATAACACAAAAAATTAACAGCTTAGGATAAAGAAAGCATTTTAAGTGTCTGTACACAAATTAAAAGCTAAAAAAATAAAAGTGTAACGATTCTCAAGTCTGTATTTTCCAACAGGAACTGTCCTGGGAAGCAGAAGTAAATATCTGGGAAACTGTGTGTCAGTCAAGGAGCAGTTCACCTGTATGGAATGGCTGCTATAAATGTCTCCATGTCGGTTGATCAATGTACTGCTATCCTAAGCAACTCACAGTAAATGATTAAGGAAAAGGGTTATCCTAATAGGCTATTTGCTAACATGAGAGAGTAAACTTTAGAAAAGTCACATTTTTCTAACAGACCTCAGCAGGTTTGGTAAAACAGACTAAAGGATGCGTCTACCAAAGCTAAAAAGGAAAGAAAAATAATTTATGTTTGAGTTCTTTAAAGACAATCCCGCCCGTATCGACGAACAAGCACCGCCCCTTCACCATGAAGGAGAGAAGGGTTAAAAATCTCCGCCATGAGGCTACGCCTCTTCACCACCTCCGTCTCTGCATCGCGTTCTTTTATTACACTCTCCTTGCCTCAGAGTCCTGGTTTTCAGCCTGGAAAAAACATCCATGGGCTAGGGCTAAGTGGGAAAGCGGCTTTTGCTGGCAGCATCCCTTTTCACTGAGTCCCCGGCTGCACCTGTGGTTCCCACTTGCTCAAACATAACCACTTCCTCACTGTGGGCCAGGACCGGCTCAGGGCTGTCACTCTTTAAGAAGACCTCCTTCTTAGGGGATATTTTCCTCTTTGTGACACACTTACTCTTATTTTCTCCTCCATTCTCGCCTTCTATGTCACGGGGGCCAATACAATCGTGTTTTGCCAAGTTGCTCCGGGATGTAAACATTTTTCCACACTTCCAGCAGACGGGAGCGACTAGGGGTAAATGCGGGCCCGTGGTGCTGTCTGATGCGCACTCTGAGGAGCTTGACATTGCGGAAGGCCTTGTCACAATGACCACAGTTAAGATGCTTCTCCCCAGTTTGGGTTCTTTTGTGTAAGGCCGTGTGCCGTTTCTGTTTGCACGCATAATGGCACTGGTCACACTTGAAGCGCTCCTCGTTTTCACGGGATTTGGTGCTGGCAGAAGGCATTCCCGTAGCTGGAGCAACACGGAAGCACAGTCAGGGCACTTCTTGCCCTGCTCCATCGGGGAATGCTGCTTTCGCAAATGGGCGCCCAAATCGTGTTTTCGGGCTAAGACTATGTCATAGTGCGGACAGTAAAATGGGCCACATTCTTAGTGTGTTTCTGAGCCATGTGCATCTCCATGGAACCACTCTGGGTAAACCAAGTGTGGCAAATGGAACACTCGTCGGGTTTCTCGCCCGGGTGGGTGACCATGTGCCTCTTCAGCTTGCATTTGTCCCTGCCGGCGTGGCGGCCCAGGGCCCGGTAGGACGTCCTCTCGCCCAAGGGCGTGCGGCACTCGTAGCGCTTGAAAGCACTCTCGCGGGCACGTGGCCTGCCCCCTGATCCCCAAGGCCATGTCGCAGCGGGAACTTTTAGGAGCACTACCTTTCGACGCCTGCAAAGTTACTCTGTGGAAAAGGAAGACACGGCGGAAGGGGTCTTGATGCTCACTTAGACATCTTGCGGCCTCGGGCGGGACGACCCTGCACTCCTCGCGTCCCCCGCCACCCCCTCACCCCGCCACCCTCCGGGGCGCGCGCCTCCACGCCCACCCGGCTGCTCCAGCCGCCGCAAGCCCAGCCACCCTGCGCACCTTTCTGCCGCCCGGCGGCTGCGGACCGAGACGGCAGCGACGCAGCGCGTCTGCGCGGGGCCCGGCGGGGACTCCGAGCGCCTCCCGGCGGCACCCAGGAAGCGCTGCAGGGAGGGAGCCGCGCTCACCGCCGGTCTTCTCCGACCCTCCCCAGCCACGTTCCCTCTCCAGTATCTCCGAATCTCCCACACTCCCGGTAAAGCCTGTAAAAACGGAAATCTTTTTGCCCTGTTTCCACCACCCTCCAATCCTAGGGATCTAAATTGGTGCAATAATAACAGTTAACATTTACTAAGTGACAATTATTATGTGTCCTCACTGTACTAAAAGTCTTACCTCATTAATCTTCACAACTACCCTATTAGGTGGGCTCAAAGCTTACTAGGGAAATTTACCCAAGTGGGGCCATGAGGGTGATGCTGAAAAGGTGTGGAGGCGAAGGTCACCGGACATACAAAGTCAAGGAACTTGGAAGCCTGCCTGTTGCATGGATCATCTGTGAAGTGGATGCGGAAGTCGCCCAGGATAATGGAAGGATCTGGAGTTGAGATGAAGACTGCGAGCAGGTGCCAGGTCTTCAGTGAGCAAGAGGTATAAATAGGAGGTCAGCAAGTAGCAAAGAATTAAATGGTTGGGTCAGATGGCAGATGGCATGGGCCTCAAAGAAGCAGTTGGTTTTCTAAGGAGGAAAAGGAGGAGGGACTCCACCCCTGAGAGCTCTGCAAGAGGGCTCCTCAGAGGAGAGCTGCTTCAGTAAGAACAGGAGGGGAAGCAAGGCCCTTGAAGAGGTTTGAGTGCTTGGAGAGGTTGTTAACCATAGAAGGAGAGTCCCGGAGGTGACAGGAGAAAGGGCTGGTGGCAGGGAGGGAAGGAAAGCTTTCTTCCCACTGCTTTATTACCTCCTCTTCCTCAAGGAGTAAGAGCGCTGATAGGACCAGGACAGGAGAGTTTTACTGGGAGGAATAAAAGGATTATAAATAGAGCGCTGACAAACGCACCTTTCTTTCTGCTTGGTAAACTCTACAGCTCGTGTCCTACGTCCTGCCCTCCACCCCTTGCCTCAGAGGGTCCTGTAGGAAACGGGGTAGAACCCAGACGAAAAGAGACAAGGCCCAGGCAGCTTAAGTTTGCCTATAATCTAGCTCACAGTTTCTCAGCCCGAAATCCACAAACTCCGAGGGTTCTGAGTGTTTTGTATGAGAATTTTCTAATTTTGTGTTTTCCTTTTGCAGATAATCTGAAGACAAATAGCATAAGCAACCAGATAGCCACCTTATAACCAATGATGAACATCGATTTCCTTGCCCTTGTGTATTGTGTTTACACACTAGCATCAAGTAACACCAGACTGTTGAAGCCTAAGGAAAAGAGAACAGAGGCTCAACCCATAGGTAATAATGCATTTTTTTGCCAAGTGAAATCCAGTGACATCAGAGGCCAGCATATGAATGACAGTCTTCACAGTATTCAAAAAAAGAAAGTGGGGGAGAATTGAGCAAACACATGATAATTTAAGCATGCTTAACTCAAACAAATTTACCAATCAGTAGAATATTCATAAGAAAGTGGAAATTTCATTTTAGCCAAACACTATTTGTTGTCTCATTAAGTCAATGTTATTAATGAGAATTTCAGTGGTTTCTATAGTGTTCTTTCTGTTTAACTTGTATATTTGTTAGGATTTATAGTTGTATAAGAGCTATAAGCATAATGATTTTATACTTTCTTTTATATTTATAGACAGATAAGTAAAGTGAGAACTATTTAACTCAACCTTTGGGAGTACAAGAATAGTTTTTCTTTAAAAGGTATTATATAGGCATATATATTCAAGTTTTGAGACACACTGGCCTAGATTTAGTTCAGAAGGCAAGAAGATGGAATCTCACCTATAGTCCAGCACAGCTTCTCTCATCACAGAAAGGAATGGAATAGGGATCTGGGACCAAAGCCCCAGCTCGGAGAGTCCTCTGCATTGTCTATCCCTCATGACTTGAACGTGTATACTAGCACAGGAAGTGGCCAAGCGTTCAGCAGTTCAGGATCCTGGCCCTCTCACTTTCCTCAGAGACACACCAACAATAAGGTACACACATACACAGAATTACTCAAGGTTGGACACTTCCTCCATCTCCACAAATCCCACAGTTAAATGCAGTCTTCATCTTACAAGACCTTTCAGCAGACCTCTATGTAATAACTCCCTCCTTGGCTTCCAAGAGACCATACTCTCCTGATTTCCCTTCTACTTCATTCATTGCTTTTATTCGGTCTCCTATGTGGGCTCTTCCTCTTCCCGACCTCAAAATGTTGCAGTGATCCAGGACTCAGTCCTCAGACCACTTCTCCATACATAGCCTCTCCCTAGGGAACCTCATCCAGTGTCAAAGCTTTACATATATAATGCTGGGGATGCATATCTCTAACCGTGACATCTCCCCTGACATTTAGACCCAAATACAAAACTACTACTTGATATATCCACTTGGCTGTTTAACAGGAACCTCAAATGTCCAAACCAAGAACTCTTGATTAACCACTTGCTCCACCTCACACGTCTCCAATTCTGCCTGATCTCAGCAAATGGCACCACCATCCATCCAGTTGTTCAAACCAAAACTCCTGGAGTCATTCTTGAATTCTTCCTTTACCTCACACTCCAAATCCAATTAACCAACTAGTGCTATCAGTACTACTTTCAAAATATTTCACTATTATCACTATTATATATCTCTATTAGTAGATTCTGTGATGCACTGCCCACATCTCCCCAGGACTGAGAGTAGCTGGGAGTATTGGTGATTGATAGCTCTCAGTTGAGCCCCTCCCTTCGTGCTGCCCTGGGCTGAAAAGTCACTTCCTGGAGGCAGCCTATGTTTAATAATTGAGGGAGGGAGTGAAGGAGGAGGAGGCAGGTAGTAAAGGCAGGACAACTCTGAAAGGCTATCCCAGATCCAGAGCTCCTCTTAAATTGCGTGAAGCCTTGGTTGTGATTCCATCAAGGTTCAACTTTTCCCTCTGCCCACTCCTGCTTCCTTCAGCCCTCACAGATATTATCCCTGGGAGCACTCCCTAATACACTTCTTGCACACAAGCCTGAGTATTAGAGGCTGTTCTCATTGAACACAACCTATGACACCTGGCACCAGAAATGGTCATAGGAAGCAGTCTCCACAATGATACACCATCATTTGTGAGAGATGGTGAGTGGGGAAGAGAACACACTGGCTGATGCACTATCTCAGCTTTTGAGAAATTCCAGGAGAAATACTGATTATAAGAATCATGGAATTGGATGGATGTTGCTGGAGGCCATCAATGCACTGGAGAAATCAATGAAAGGCTGAGAATGAAATAGCACCAAAAATGTGGTATATACATACAATAGAATATAATTCAGCCTTAAAAAGGAAAGATTCTGACATATGCTACAACATGGATGAACTTTGAGGACATTATGCTAACTGAAGTAAGCCAGTCACAAAAAGACAAATACTATATGATTCCAATTATATGAGGTACTTAGAATAGTCAAAATCATGGAGACAGAAAGTAGAATGGTGGCTGCCCGCGGTTGGAGGGAGGGAAGAACTGTACAGAGTTTCAGTTTTACAAGGTGAAAAGAGTTATGAAGAGAAATGCTGGTGATGGTTATACAACACTATGAATGTATTTAATACCACTGAACTGTACACTTAAAAATGGTTAAGATGGTAAATGTAATGTTATCTGTATTTTACCAAAATGAAAAAAAATTGGAAAAAAAAGAAACCAATATCACATCCCAGAGTAAACAGCAGAGATTAGTGCCACTTTTAAAGACCTACTAAAGATTTCAGGGGTTGGGACCGGCCGGGTGGGGTAGTGGTTAGGTTTGCATACTCTGCTTCAGCAGCCTGGGGTTCACGGGTTCAGATCCCAAGTGCAGACCTAGCACCACTTGTCAAGCCACGCTGTGGCGGCGTCCCACATGAAATAGAGAAGGATTGGCATGGATGTTAGCTCAGGGTCAATCTTCCTCACAGAAAAAAAAAATTCAGGGGTGGTGGTTCCCATCATATAATTCACCAGTCTAAGCCTTACAGAAGCTAGATGGATCATAGTGGAGTGTGACAGTGTACTACTTCAACCTCATAGTAGAAGAGCCAATTGCTACTATCGATCCAGATGTGGTATCTTTACTAGAGCAGATTAACATAGCCTGAGGGACATAGAATATGGCCATTGAGCTGGTGAATGCATTATTTTCCATTTACTAAGAAGGAGGACCAGAAGCAGTGGGCATTCACATGGGATGGGCAGTAATATACATTTAAATCTTCCACCCTCTGTCATAAAGGGACCTGGTCCATCCACACATCCACAGAACATCCTACTGGTCCACTATACTGATGACATCATGTTAATTGGACTAGATGAACAAGTTGTAGCAATATGTTGGAGGCCTTAGTAAGATACATGCACTCCAGAGGGTGGGAGATAATAGAATCAATGAGGACTCAAGGGTCTACTGCATCAGTTAAGTATTTCCAGGAGTAGTGATCTGGGGCAGGTCAGGACACGCCCTCCTGCACCACCAAAATAAAGGGCAAATGATCTGACACCTCCTAAAAAGGAAACATAACACCTGAGGTCGCTTTAAGTTCTGGAGGTAATATATTTGAAAACTGAGAAAACTGTTCTGACCCATTTCTGAGAAACAAGAAAGGCTGACAGCTTTCAATGGGACCATAGTGGGATAGAGCTTTTCAGCAGGTCCAAGCGATGCAAGCAGCCCTGCCTCTTGGGCCACCTGATCCAGCAGACTCTTTGGTATTAAAAGTATCAGAGGTAGGAAAAGATGTTGCATAGAGTTTACCACAAGCCCCAGAAGGAAAATATGCAGCAAAACACTGTCACAGTTCCTAGCATGCTAGGGGGCCCTGACAGACAGAGTGCTTAAATATGGGAGATCAAATGACCATATAGCCAGAGTTGCCTGTCATGAGTTGGGTTCTCTCAGACCCACCTAATCATAAGTTTTGGTGAACTCAGCAGCGATCCATGTGATGGAATAATGCATCTGAGATCAAGCACAAGCAGGTTACACAAAGAGTGGCCCAGCTCTCCATGCCCCACCACTGCTATAGCATTACCTCTCCCTAAACTTACACCTTTAACTACATGGGGGTTCATCATGACCAGCCGACACAGGAGGAAAAAGGACAAGCTTGGTTTGTGCATGGATTACTTAGTATGTGAGTACAAATTGAAAATGGCCTGTTAGGCACTACAGCACCACTCAGGAATAATCCTGAAAGACAGCAATGAGGGGAAATCTGCCCAGTGAGAAGAATCTCAAGCGATGTATCTGACCATGCACATTGTGTGGAAACAGAAGTGGCCAGAGATAACAATACATATAGACTCATGGACAGTTAGGAATAGCTTGGTTGGATGATCAGTGGCCTGAAAGGAAAAGATTGTAAGATCAGACACAAAGAGATCTGGGGAATATGCATGAAGATGGATCCATGGGAATAGACACAAAGTAAAAGTATTTTTATATTGTATGGTCACTATATGGGAGAGGTACCTAACAACCAAGTAGACAGAACGCCTCAGCCAGTTGAAGTCAGCCCGACTCTTTCATCAGCTGACGTAAGGAACACAAGGGCTGACACAATGGGCTCATGAATGGAGCAGCCATGGTGGTGGAGACAGAGGCTCTCCAAGCCCCAAACAGCAGGAGCTTCTACTCACCAAGTAGCAAGCTGATTACTCGGAAATGACTCCACCCTGAAAGGTGCAGTGTGTCATCTTGACTGGAATTGACACACATATTCTAGGTATGGCTTTGCCTCACCTGCTTGCAGAGCCTCAGCCAGCAGGACAACTCAACCGTTAAAGAGTATTTGATCTTTTGACATAGGATCATGCATTACATTGCATTGGACTGAAGGTCCTATTATACAGCAAAAGGGATGTAGAATGACCATAGGAGTCACCAGTCCTATCACATACAGCACCAACCAGAAGCTGCTAGCCTAATATAGTGACAGAACAAATAAGTGGTTTTCTTCCAAGTGAAGCTTAGAGATGTTACCCTTCGAGAATGGTATCCAATTCTCGAAGACATAGTAGACACCCTAAGTCAGTATTTGTGCTAACGTTCCGATATCCCTACCACTTCTGTCTGATTGCTGCCTCTCTCTCAGGTTTCTTTTCTGATATCCCTTCTCAGGTGAGCAGGAGCCTGAGATGCTTGACTGGCTGAGGTGCAGTGTCCTGCAATTCCGGGCTAAGAGGAGGAAGCAAAACCAGAGACAGGGCCCAGGGACAAAATAAAAATAAAAACCATGTAGATGGTTTGATTAAGTCACCACTCTGAAGGGACTAAGCAGAGTGGGAGGATACAGGTAGGAGATGAGATAAAAATCAAATCAGAGCAATAGATTTTGGAGCACAGAACTCGTAAGGAATTTCCTAAGCAATGGGAATGGTTTGGACTTCTAACACAAACATACACAAAAACCTCACTGGCAGAAAGCTGAAACAAGTCGGGTATTATCTGAAGACTGTTTAGCAGTGATGGAGGAGAAATAGAATAATTGTTTTCTCTTGATATCGTGAAACTTCCAAATAGTTTTAAAATAATCAAGTCAAGACCAGTCTAGAGGAGGACATCCCTAATTTAGAGGAGGCGCTAAAACATCAGCTGAGGTGTAAGCCCATGGATCAAGGTCCGTCTCCCGCAGACCTGAGGTGCGGACGTCAGAAAGAGCAGCCCTGGGTCACCCATCTGTGCCTGTCTTCTGGAGAAGACCCCGAAGCATGAGCCCTGGGCCGTGAACGTCCTGAGAAAAGAGGTGGTCTCTTCCTCCCACATTTACAAAGGCTAGCACCGTCCCTGAAATTCCGTGCGGGCTCAGTGTTGAACGAACCACCAGAAACCCACTCAGCATCTCCCAAAAAGCCCAGGAGAAGGCTTTGGTCGTTGTGGAGAAAGTTGAGAACGTGTTTCTCCGGGCTGCGTTATCCTGCGTGAGGAGGCTCACGGAGGAGAATCCCACCCTTACACCATGGGGCTTTGAAAGATGCTCTGGAAAGCGCAAGTTAGGCTTCACCCTCTGCCGGGCGTCTCTCCACGCCCCCGGGGCCACGTTCTCTCCGTCACTCACCGTCTCCGAGTACAGGTCAAACGAGGAGCTCCAGTTTTTCAGCCCCTCCTGGAGTTCGACGATGTTCACCACCCCGTCCTCGTGGCGGTCCAAGTCTCGGAAGAGGCTCTCGTAGCGGAAGGAGTCATCGTCCTCCTGGCAGGCCGTCTCGGGCGGCACGAAGCCCCGCAGCCAGCGCAGCATGGTCCAGCCGGGGCTGGCCTGCGGCGACGAGGGCCGCAAGGCCTCCTTCCCCTCCCCTCCCAGCCCAAGCAGGGGCGTCCCGGCCGCGCCCCCTACGGTCGCTTTGACCACGCCCCGGCTGAGCAGGGCGGCGGGTCAACGGCCAGCCGGAGCCGCCCGGGGCGAGGGGACCCGCGCCTCTGGGCTCTCGGGCGCGCCTCTTGGACCCCAGCCGAGGCGCCACGCGGGGGTCGGCCCGCCCTGGATGTTGGAAGTGGGAGCGTCAAACGTTGTGGCAACCTGCACGCAGGACCATGCGCTGTCAACCCGGGAGCCGAGGGGAGTGCGGGGAAGGGGAGCGCAGTCCCCAGGCGGCGTCGAGACAGCGCTCGGGTGGCTAGGATCTCCCGGGGGCGCAAACTCAGCGCCTGCGGCGGGCCCGGCTACTCCGGCCCGGACCCCTGAGGTGAGCGTCCAGTGCCCTGGGGCCACCCCTCCTCTCCGGGAAGGTCATCGCCTTGCAGTCGGGACCCCGCAGACTCTGCGGGGAGATCTGAAGAGGCCAGCCCGCCCAGAGGAGCCTCCGCCCTCAGTTCATCTCTCTCTCTCTACCCCTGCCTCACCGAACCTGGAAACCCAAGAGCCCGCCTCCTCCTCACCTCCCACTTTTCTCCTAGATTCGCTGCAGTCTCATCTCAGCCACCACCACCATCACTACCTTACTGGACTTCCTTGTCACAAAATCCCAAGGACACTTTAAAATCCTTGCCTTATTTAATCCCAGTCCTGTGTAGACTCTGCTGACCACGCCCTCCGTCCTGAATCACCTTTTCCTTTGTCTTCTGGAACACCACACATTTCTGGCGTTCCTCAGCCTCTCCTACAGGCTCCCGCAAAGGAACCTGAGATCTTCTCAAGTTGAGGCACTAGAGAATTGCAGGAAACAGAGTTGAGAGATCATCTAAAAACCTAGTTCTGTGTGTAATTTGTTGCAGTGAAACTTTGTGCCTTCAATCTCTGGTCACATCCTTTGAAAGTCGGTGGTACAGTCTAAAAACAGACCCAGATCAGTGTTTTAAAAAATACTTTTTCTTATAAAACCCCAAATCTTGGACCACAGAGTAAAGTTCACTTATTGCTTAAAATACCAGTTAGATATATTTTAAGATGTTTATTTCATATAGTTTTTTATACCAGATATTTTGTTAAATGCTAGAGATATAAAAGTAACGTTGAACCTGCTCTCATAGATTCTCACCATCTAGTGTGCTCTAGGTTTGTAAACAAATACAATTCAACTTAAGTGCTGCAATAAAGATGTGAGCAAATGTCATAAAATATGTATTACTTAAATGAATGCGTTTTAAGAATTGATACAACAGAAAGCTACTAAAAAACATTTAGAAAATATTGTAAGTGCTGGGCATTTATAAATATAAAAGACTTCTTTCTTTAACAGATAATTAACTGTCAAAAGTAAATATAATAATATATTGTGGAGCTTATATCATGTAGAAGTAAAATGTTTGACAGCAATAATAAAAAGGATCAGAAAGGGGACATGGAAGTATACTGCTAAAGGCTCTTGTATTATATGTGAAGTAGCATACATCTGAAAATCTGTGCCAGAAACCCTGGAGCAAACGTTGGAAAAAACATGAAGTTGTAGCTAATAAGCCAAAAGAGGAGATAAAATAGAATACTAAAAAATACCAAATTAATCCAAAACATTGTAAGGGGAAAAAAGGAAAAAGAACAGTTCAGACAAACAAAACAAATAAGATGTTAGACTTAAAGCTAACCATATTGATAATTACATTAAATACAATATTCTGTACACTCCAATTCAAAGACAAAACAGAGAAGACCCAACTATATACTTTTTATAAAAATAAAATACAGTCGTGTGCTCCACAATGACTTTTCAGTCAACTACAGACAGCATATATGACGGTGGTCCCAGTAGATTAGTACCATATAGCCTAGGAGTGTAGTAGGCTATACCATCTAGGTATGTGTACATACACCCTATGATGTTTGCATGATGACAAAATCGCCTGACATATTTCTCAGAGTGTTTCCCCATCATTAAGTGACACATGACTATATAAAGATACATAATATGTTAAAAGTAAAAGAATAGATAAAGATGGGGCTGGCCTGGTGGCATAATGGTTAAGTTTGTGTGCTCTGCTTTGGTGGCCCAGGATTTGCAGGTTTGGATCCTGGGTGCAGACCTATGCACCGCTTATCAAGCCATGCTGTGGCAGGTGTCCCATAGATAAAATAGAGGAAGATGGGCACAGATGTTAGTTAGCTCAGGGCCAATCTTCCTCAGCAAAAAGAGGAGGATTGGTGGCAGATGTCAGCTCAGGGCTAATCTTCCTCACACACACACACAAGAATAGCCAAATTAACGTTAGCCGGGGTAGACTTCAAGACCAGGAAGACATTTTATAATGTTTGGAGAGTTGAGTCATCAAGATGGCATAACAATCATAATGTGTATTATTCACTTAGGAATCTTATAGACACAGGAAAAGCTGCAGAGCCTCATACAAAACTCTTTCACTTAGTTCAACTTCCTTAGAAGGCAGGTGAAAGCAGTTAGATTAGACTTAGCTTTTGTACATTTCATTTTGGCATTTTGGGATTGAGGGGCTTTTGAGAGAGGGAATGGGCCAGATTGCTATTTACTGTAACTTTTTTCTTAAACACACAAACTATTAAAAGAAAGTCCAAGCGTTAAAGAAAAATGAAAGAAAGAAATATAGAGATTTGGTTAAAAAAAAAAAAAGAAAATAGAAGTCACAAGCTTTGAAATACACGTTTCAAAGTTCCTTATTTTCTACCAATAATAAAGACAACAGCTAATGCATACGGTGCTTAATATATGTCAGATGCTGTTCTAAGTGCTTTACGTATATTAACTAGTCTAACCCTCACAACAACCTAAGGAGTACGTACTATCCTTAGCTTCATTTTACAAACATTAGGAAACTAAGGTGGAGAGATCACCTTGCTTGTAAGGGTGGAGCCAAGTTCTGAACCCAAGCAGACTAGCTCGAGTCCTTATTCTTGACCAGCTACCAGCATTCATTGATGACCTCCTATTTGCCAGGCATTGTGATCAGTATTTTACATGGATTGTCTCATTAATCCTCACATCAACTGTATGTGGTACGTAATATGATTACCATCCTTACTTTATAGCTGAAAAAATGAGGCTTAGGAAGGTTAAATGATGTTCCCAAAAGTCACAGGGCTAATAAGGTGGGGCACTAGGAAGCACACCAAGATAATATGATTCTAGAGCTCATGATCTTTAAATGTTACACTAGCCTCCTTACCTCTAAGAAAGTCAATTACTTAACCTCTCCTATCCATAATGTAGGAAAGATAATCCCTACCTCAAAGAGTTGTAGAACAGCGTAGATTATAATTTGGAGTTACTAAACAAAAATTGCAAGAAATTTTGAGAATTTTAAAAAACTATGAAGCACAGATTTCTAAGTACACTGGTAGAAAAGAGCTATGCAAACTATGAGATATATATTTGAATATGAGAAAAACTAGAACCTTGGCATTCTTTCAAAAGAATTCCGGTTATACTTTATTCATTCACTCAACAAATATTTATCAGGAAAGTACTGTATGACACAGCAATCAGCAATTCACAGTCCCCACTCTCAGGCAAGAAAATAAGCAGCTATAATGCAGAATGATGGTGCTGAGCAGGAGCTTAAGCATACAGTTATTCTCAACACATGGGTGCCTTTAGCAAGTTAATACTTTGGTTAAAGTAGATATTATATGCCATTTCTGACATTTGACATCATACAAATTTCTGAGGAAAGAGCCTTCTATAATATCACTTATTTAATCAACAAAACCTCACTAGCTAACTTTTTGGCCCCATAATTTCTAACAGTTTATAATGGATTACATTTTATCCCCATGACTCATGGCATAAAATATACAAATATTTAAAAATAGACCCCTTACAGTAAAATGGTTCCAGTAACGGGCAATTTCCTCAACATTTTTTGCAGGTTTAAATAAAAAATACTTCCTCCATTTGTCCCAGTCTACTGTCATTGAGGCATCAGTATCCATACTGTATATTTAAAAAAGAATATACTCAAATATAAATTATGATTCATAAATTTCAAAAAGCATTATCAAAATGACACCTTCTATTCTTAAAGTCAGAAAATTTGGGTTACAGTTGAGCTCTGCTCATTGATACTTTTGAGATGGAGGGATTGCCTCTTACATCTTTAAACTTCAATTTATTGGGAATAATTTCTACAACACAGAGCTATTTGAGTATTAAATGAAATTACATGTACACTGGCATTGTAAATTATAAAGAACTAAAAAACTGTGCGTCAGTATTACTGCATCCCAATCTTCTAGTATTTCCTCTTAAACAGTTCCCCTTCTTCCTATCCTGTAACCTCATCTTGTAACTCCTCTAGCAATAGAATGATGACTGACAATTACCCTTTTTGGTTATGGATCTTAAAGGACAATTTCCATTCTTATAGATATGAAATATCCAACACCAAAAATATCATAAGAAATCCAAGTATCCATGGAAATATAATTTCCATTGATATGAAATAATAGTAATCAAGAAAATTTTAATAATTTTAAAGAATTTTAAGAATTCTTATCAAAGAATTTCTCAAATCCCTGAATGAAATTAAGGATTTGAAGAAAGATAGTGAAATATATTGCTTGCTAAGTGTGAGCTTCCCAAAATTTCAAGTTCTTGTCTCAGCCAGCTCCCTTTCTCGTTTTCCTCAACGACTATTGCTAACCTTCTTACATCTCCTCAAGCCACCAAATCAATTCCTGATACTCTCAGGCCATGTTGTCCTCTATTTCTCCCCAAAACATGAGTGTTCAAGCATTCCCATCTTTAAAAAAAATCTCCTGACCTGAAGCTCTCCACTATCACCGTTTATCTCTCTTTGCTTTTCTGTCTCCAATTTCTCCTGCTCCTTCTCCCTTGAATCCACTCCTATCAGGCTCTCAACACCATTACTCCATCAGTGGCCTCAAAGGTGCTAAATAACTGGTCCATTCTCTGTCCTCCTTTTGTTTAGTCTATCAGCAGCATTTGACAAAGATAATTGTCTCCTCCTTGAAACATTTTCTTCATTTGGCTTCCAGAACAGCTTTCTCCTCGTTCTCCTCCTTTCACTCTGGCTGCTCCTTCTCAGTCTCCTTTACTAGTTTCCGCTCATATCCCCTGCCTCTTCACATTAGAGAATACCAGGACTCCATGTACTACACTCTCCCCTTGGTCATCTCTTCCAGTCTCATGGCTTTAGACCCCCAAATCTCTAGCCTGAGCATTCCTCTGAACTCCAAACTCCTACTTCAAGTTGCCTACCTGACATCTCTACTTAGATGTCTGATTACGATCTGAAACTAACAAAAACAGGCCTGGACTCTGATACCCACCCCATCCCAAATCTGCTTTTCTCAGTCTTACCCATCTCGATACATGGTAACTCCATTCTTCTAGATGCTCAGGTCAGAAATCTTGGCATTATCCTTGAACTACTCTCTTTCTTTTACACCCCACACGTGATCCAGAAGTAAATCCTGTTGGCATTTCAAAATGCATCCAGACTCCAATCACTGCTTACCTCTTCCATCCTGGTACAAGCCACCCTCAAATGTTGTATTATTGCAAAACTGTCCTGACTGGTCTCCCTGCTTTCGCCCTTGTCCCCTACAAACTACACTCAACACATCAGCCAGAACGAGACTGCTGAAACCTA